CTTCAACTGGTTCCGTGATGTTCTTTATGCGGTAAGGCGGTGTGGTAAAAGCAATAGCTGTCTGCTTATGAACGTCGGTAATTTCAAAAGAAGCGTAATCTTCCCAAATAATTTGATCGTTTTTCGTCTCATAGAAGCGTATTAAAATATCATCTCTGACAATCTTTTCGCACAATAATATATTCTCCGTACCGCCATCGACACTGGCAGTACAACTGCATACACGACAGATCTCTAATTCTGACATTGCTTTCTTTTCGTAAATTGGTTCCGAAACAACAGGATTGAGAGGATTAGTAAATCCTCCTTTCTTATCATCGATAAATACTTGGAAGCATAATCGTAGCGAATACAAATCAATGGGCGATGTCTGTGAGCGATGATTAAATCCTGTTCTGAATGGGTCGATACGCATTGCTTCGCGTTCCTTCAATGCGGATTCAATATTCTTCTTTTTGACATATTGAACGCTTAAATTTTTAAATGCCAGTGGCATCTGTTCGGTACTAAATACTTTTTTGCAAACGCCGTGCTGGCAATCTATTCCAATCAACTTATGCGGATGCGGGCAGTATGGTGGCTCTTTGGTAACGCATGATATAATAACTACAGCCTCGCCTGCATAGCCGACAATTTCGATCGACGGATAAGTTTTATTTTCGGGTGTTGAGTTAGCACCAAGTATTGAGCCACCAGATCTTCCCTCACATTCATATCGAAATCTCATAGGTTTACTGGCTGGTTGCTCCACAATTCTTACATAGGGTTTAAATGTAGCACTCATGATGTTCACTATATGTTAACACACTTATAACTGAAATGTTTCTATACGCAGTGACTGATATTCGATTAACGGCGTCTACTTAAATACGATTTATTCCGTGGATTTCTTTATTACCAGCGTTTTTATCATAAACAAGTAGAAAAAATTCCATCTTAAAGTGTTAGCCGTGAAAATAAAAACAAGCAAAAAAATTATATTCGGTCGTCACCGACTCTTTCATACCCAGCACCGTTATTTAAAAAAAAAAAAAAGAACAAACTACATTTTCGTACTCTATCATATGCAGTGGGTGCGGTTGTTTTTTTTTGTATTTTCATATTAAAAGTTTTTCGTCGATATTATGTATTATATATATATATATATGTATATATATATACATTTTATTTATTTTTTGGCTATATATTCATTTTCGCTAATAAGAGGATGTTTATCACAGATACTACGTACAGTTAAGCCGACGACAGACAGACGGACAGACATTATACAGGATGGCAGATAAACAGATGGACATCCTTAAATCACCTTAGAATTTGATGCTAATAAGGCATATATATATATATATATATATGTACTTTGTGAGGTCTCTGAAGATTCTTTCTGAGTGTTGCAAACGTTTTAAGAAAATTAATATACCCTTCATCCTTCGATGATGGATATAAAAATAGAAACGGTCATTCATCGGATTAAACACAACTAATTTTTCTTTCTTATGTTCTAGGAAATATTACTTACTCCGTTTGAGTGTAGAAGTAACAGTTTTAATCGACTAATAGCAGGTGAAACACTAAAACATGCAATAATGAAATGAATGAAGTGCGTGCTAAAAAAGTTATTGCTTTTCAGAATTAATTGCTAATAGAGATTTGCCCTTAGAAAAGTAAAAGAATTTTTTAATTTTAATTTCAAAATTGTATGAAAAAGAAACCTTGATTATGAAAAGAACAAAAGTAGTATATAATGAGCTTTCGACTTGTTTATTAGCTATGTATGGCGTGGATGCAGACGGGCTATCAGAAAGAAGAACATACATATTGCTACCCTCACAAAGAATGCTATGCTTTAATGGCGCTTCCTAGTGTAACGAAACTGACGTAACTTTTTCTTTCGCCAGGTGAAAATTCCATTTTTTTTTGCCTTTTACCTGCTACCTCGCACGTGTTGTAAATGTCAAAAATTTTCAAAAATGAAGTAGAAAGTCAGTCGTCGCTTATAATCCTTTGCCGGTAAATTGAAATGAGCAGGTAATATAATACGAAATTAATTAATTTAGGCATATGTCATGCACAATTTTTGAGTTATGAAAATATGAAAACACCTGAAAATGTTTTGCATTTCTCTTCCCTTTTCAATTATTTTTTGAAACAATTGATAAAGAAATATAAAAACAAGTAAGGAAATTATATTAGGTCGAAACCGAATCTTTTATACCCATCACCGTTAGCTTACAAGAGACAAAAAAAGTATAAGAATTAAATTTTCACGCTCTTTAATATGAAGTGGGCGCAGCTGATTTTTTCTATTTTCATAGCAAAAGTTTTTGTCGCATAAGCATGTGGGCGTTATAGGCGATTTCCTACAACCAACATTACACCGCCGGGCAGACACGCTTACGGACAGACGGACACACTTAAATCACCTTAAAATATGGTGCTGATAAAGAATGTATATATATTTATATATATATATATATTTCGAATGGACCGAATTTTCATTTGTGAAGCGCTAAAAATTATTGTAAGAATGTGAAACGAATGACTTACGAGGAGTAACTGATGTAGGGCATCAATGGGTGAAAATGATCGTCGCCGTATTTGAATGCACCTGCACCTCCAACAAATTCGGATTGCAGACTAGGCCGCATAAGATGGCGCTTCGTGTCTCATCGCATTGGAAGGGACTCGTGCATTGTGAGCTGCTTCAACCGGTCCAAACTTGGATTGGTTCCATTTTCGATTGTTAATGAAGTAACTTGAATAAAGCTTTTAAAAATTACCGAAAGGGAGGATGTCCTTTTCTATCGCAGGGCACAAATTAGAAGAGCTTAGCTGGGTAGTTTGAATGGATCCACCCTATAGCCCCAGATTTTCTCTCTTACTCTCTTTCTCTCTGCTTACACTTTGTTTTAGTCTCTTTAAAGCAAACTTTAAAAGAGTTTTGTTTCTAACTAAACTCTCCTCACTGCACGAGCTGAAATTACTTAACCATAGCAATGCCATACACTTAAACCTTTTTGTCCGCTTAATTCCGCAAAAAAGATTTCTTCCCTATCGGCTCAACCTTCAAGAGCGAACAGCCCATCATCAGAGCAGTGGGAAAGATTGGCCATGCCTACTCAATCTTACGGTGAATTGTAATTTAGTTTTTTTTTTCTTCCTTTTCTTTCGAAAAACTGGGGGGTATAGAAGACCCGATCAGAGTCGAATATAGTTTTCTTACTTGTTTTTAATTTTTTTTGAAGAGTTCTGCTAGTAAATGGTTGTGCCAGAATTAATCGTCATATAATCTGCCAAAGCGTTCGGCAGGGTTCCTTTTCCGGATTTTTGATAAGTTACTGTCCATGTTGAAGCTCACAGTTGACAGGGTTAAATTTAAGCAAAATTATTATTTGCATTCGTGGTTGTGGGTGTTCTTTGCATCGACTATGGATTTTTTATCGCTTTATTTCTTTTGACGCGACCACGGCTGATTATATCCTGGGCCGTGATAGATCATGGCACTCTTCGTCTCCTTTCTGCTCTCACAGATGCCTGAAGATGTTTTGATTCGAACAAAAACTGGCAGCTTGCTTTACGACTCAAGCTCAAGTCCGTAGAGGTTTTCGATAATTGATTTTGCTTTTAAGCAACAACATGAAACACCTTTCATGTCTGGCTAGGCTTAGTCTGCCTTTTGGCAATTATTGTTCGTTTCAACAAAACAAAGAAAATTCAGCGGCTTCTTTGCAACGGCCAGAATTAGTTTTTCATGTTCAACAGAAGTTTATCGTTGCATAAATGTGAATGTTTTTCCCTTTGTTTTTTCGCGTTGCTTAGAAATATTTATTTATTTATTTATTTATTTATTTTTATTTTTTTTTGATAAAAAATGTGTTCTATTTATACGCCCCATAGCTATACATACATACATACGCATAATGTGGTGACCATGGTGGTAACGCTACCGGCTAATTTTTAAATATTTTCCTATCGATACAAACATACATACATACATACATTTTCCTATCTTACGGAAAACTTATTTATTCGACCCTTTAAGCGTTCGCCCGTTAGCGCACGCTCTCACCATGAGACAACCTATTGTTCATTTGTATTTTTTCAGTATGTATCCTTATTCAGCTATCTATATAGCCAGCGGCAGTAAATTTTTTTTGCGATTTGACCAGAACTAACAAGCATACGTCAAAGAATTCCTTTAGAAGGGGAAGAATTTATAAACATCGGCAAAATCAAGGTCCATTCTTTTGGGAATTACTAAATACAATTACAAAGTTAATATAATAAGCATTTAAACCATCAAGTTATTGTTATTATTTATATATAAGAATGTGTTAACCAATCAAGATGTTATATATTTATACTAACAAGACTAAGACTAATACACGCTAAGTAAAAGAAGCTAAACACATTTTTCAATTCTTCGAGAAATTATTACAATACTATACAGAGAGAGAGAGAGAGAGAGAGAGAGAGAAAAACGGAACAAAAAAAAAAAAAAAAAAAAAAAAAAAAATAAATAAAATAGTTATTATATTAAAAGAAAATATATGAGAAGATGATAGTTAAACAATAAATAAGAGAGAAAATTGCTAAGCATAGCACTATGAAAGGATGAACAAGTAAAACGTTAAAAAGATGAGCAATAGCATAGAAATTTATGTGCAAAAAACAATTTTTTTTTTTTTCAAATTTATTCTTCTAAGCATCAGCTGCCATAAACAACGGAGCGCATTTTATACAATCAACAATAAATAATCTGGTTATTGTAGAGTAGTGCGGTTGGTGTTTGCAACTGGGTTACTTAGCAGTTACTTAGAAAATTCTTACAAATAATAAAACTATAAATTATTTGAATAAGTTTTCAAAATTAAAAAAAAAAAAAAAGCAAAAACCAAGTAAACTTTTTAGTTATAATTTACATTGTTTGTTGAATTATGTTTTTTAATTAATTAACGCAACGCGTATTTGCATTTTGCCTTTGCCTTTTTGCCTTCTTTCAGAGTCTTGGTTTTCCTTTGGCTTCATTGGTGCCTATTAATCGTACTACGGCCGAGTTACGTTACCTATTGGGTACTGCTTGCTTCGAAAATAAAGCTAAACAACTTTCATCCAGTATTCTGTTCAATTGCGACATGAAGTTTGGGCGTGTAAGTATGCATAAAATTGTGTGTATATATATATATGCGATGCAATTAAATTCCTTTAGCTAAACGTGCATCATATGCGTTACGCTATAGAATTTGTTTCAATTATTAAATGCATGTTGATGACATTACTATTCATTACACAATAACAACAATTAATAATCGATTTGTTGTGGTTGATATAGTTATTACTGCGTGTCCCATATGTGTGTTTTTGACACAGCTACATAACCGCACATTTACCTATCTACCTACCTCTATCTATCTAACCACCTACCTCATCTCTCTACCCATGTTGTATGGTTTCTTTTAGCCTTTGGCCTTTAATATAACCGTTGCTCATACATATACGAGTACACTATGGCGTATTGTGTAATACATTTTATGTTGTTGACATTTTGTCTGCAATTTGTTTGTTTCTGTGTTTTTCTTCATCACTGCTCTCGCCACTACTCGTTCCTTCCGTTTTAGTTGCAATGCATTGGTCTTCCTCCCCATTTTCTTTTGTTTTTTTTTTTTTTTTTATTATCATTTTTTAGACACAGGATGTTGTAGTATAAAAATATCCAAGTTATATATATATATATATATATATATTAAAAGCCTGCTTTTGCTTGCAGTTGATGTTACTGTAATACTGTTGTAGTTGTTATTGTTATTGTTTGGCTCTTTGCCAATTGTTTTGTGAAACGATTACTGTCAATGCAATGGCAATGCATTTTTGTGAGAATTTGAAATGGTTTTTGTTTTTGCTCTCGACCACCTGTGGTGCTGCTGGTTTCATGCAGCTTTTTGTCAGTTGTATGCCACAAAACGTTCTTTATATTTACATACATTCACGTTTGTTTAGCGCCGAGGTTGCCTCAACAACAAACAACTATTTTTCCCTTGTCTTTCTTTTTCTTTACATTCATGTACAGAGCTTTGTATTAATTTTGTCATTTCATACGCCGCAAAAAGTAAACATTGCATGGATTATGAGGTTTATGTTGCATGTGGCTACGTCTATGGAAGATTCGAGTTTTTCCAACTACTTGTATTACTTGCAAAACGTTCTGTATAGATATTTGCAAGAGAAGTAAAAGAATTTCTTTATGCTTCCGATATGAATCTACGCTTTATCCATCCTTACTATTGGAACTATAAAATTGTTTCTAAGAGCAGCTCTATTATCTCTAAAATAGCATTAGAAATTTTATTGAACTTTTCGTATAACGAAGCGCAGCATAATTTCATTACCTAGGAATCTATCGCCAAATTGGGACGAATGATAAAAAAGACTTTTTACATTATGCTGAAGTGTGAAAAAACATACAAAAGAAACAAAATTAACGTTCACTACAAACAAGGTAGACTGTGTTATGGCCGTCGGGAACGTAAGAATACTGTCACTGTTAATTAAATCGAAAACAGTGATGATAGAATGATTATTTAATGTGACAATGATCGCATATTGCGAAATACGTTAAGGGAAAAACTAAGGATACCGAACTAGAATATAACCGACAAACTAGGATCTATCCATTCAGTAGGCCATAATTTATCGCCTTTCTAAGCAGATCATCCTTTCTTATGACAAGGTAAAATAACAGGTCCTTTAATAATTAGTCTCAAAAAGTCATTTTAATCTCTCGATGGGGAACTCATATGCGAGCAATGAGAAAGTTAATCCCTGTGTCTTCTAATGAGAAGAGCAATACTTTGAATAAAATATTTTGTGGCATTTTTTTCTATAGATGACAATTTAAGTTCCCCTTTAAAATCTCCTTTACAAACGTAACGCATTGACTAGTTTATAGAAAGCAGATCAACATCTTCCTGCTGATCCCGGCTTTTAGTGTCGATGTAGGGGATGTTTAGGCGCCTTTCGAACTAAATGTTAATTTTTTTTTCTTACTTTTCTTGTTTTTCGTTGATCAGCACTTATCTACGCATACACTCATTCATTCAACGTATTTTAGTTGTTTTGAAAAACCAACAATACTTTTTATACCCAGCATCGCTGTTATCGGGTGTCATCTAAACGTAACGCTTGATATATTTATTTTTTTAAAAGGCTTGCAACACCCAGAAGAAAGTTTCAGAGACTCCATAAAGTAGTCCGTCCGTCTGTGTAATGTTTGTAGTCGCAAAAATGTCAAACACATTGAAAGTTCTTGCAAGCGGCTTATTTGAATATTGAAAATGGATCAAATCTCTGGAAGGGAGCATCCCATCCCCATTCATTCAAGACCTTACCGGCTTTCTGGTTTTTTTTTTGCCTTTGCATGCGTATAAACTATAATAGATAGGCAATGAAAATGTTCACATTTATTGTACGAAAATAAAAAGGAATGAGCCACGCCCATCCTATGTTATAGAATATAAAGCTTTAGTTCTTTTTTACCTTTTTGTTAGTCTTTCTTAAGTATAATGGCGATGGGTACAAAAGATTCGATCGTTGCCGACTATAATTTTCTTATTTTTACGTTTACACACATAAAGGCTTGTGAATGCAGATATGAATATTATAAAGTTGGTGTTATTAAGTTATTGTAGTCGTCGCATTTGGCTTTTTTTCTTTTTTTTTTTCTAAACCAATGCTTGAAAATTCATTAGTTTGGTTTTATTTATTTAAATTTTCAAACACAAGGACTTTTACGGGTACTTAACTAACGGCATCCTGTTGTCAAAAGGCTTGTGTTTTTGATAAAAATCCTTTTTTTTATTATTATTATAGAGAAAGTATTGCCAAAAAAGTTCAAGCAATTAATTATAAAATTGTACGTTTCAAGTGCGTCGTTCCTAAGACCGCTTTTATCATTGTTGCATTATTCTTAAAAAAAAGAAAAACAAAAAAACCACGAATGCTTCTGCTACTTAACACTTTCCAATGGTTATATGAAGAGAGACTTGAATCCGGATAGTTTTAACAATTTTGTAAAGTGTACTCTGACATCACACGCTTTGTTATCATAAATCCGGTTCGGAAACAATAGTAGAAGTAGAGGGTTAATAGAACTTACTCTGTTAATCCCCGGACATACTTGCAAATCTAGTCTTAATGAATATAAATAAATGCCGGATATTCGAGAGCAACGGTTAAATTCTGTTCTAAAGGTATCTGTGCCATGTTGTAAAGGTTCGCAGTCAATATTCTTTCTTTTTTTTTTTTTTGATACATTGAACGCCAAAATTTCTAAAAATGGATGCTTCACTTGCCAAATCGATTAAATCCATAAAACAAGAAGTTGAAAAAAATGATAAAATATTATAAATAAATTATTTATTATTCAGTGGCCAAAACGATTATGTCGCTTAGTGGTATTAATACTTATTATAAAGAGAGAAATCCGTTTCGACTATGTACAGTTACGAGTTAATGAAATGCTTTGTTATTAAAATTTAATAAAATTCCAAAAATGGAGTTAATCGATTTGGCAAGTGAAGCATCCGTTGAAGCATGGAAGTCTTTGGCATGGTTTCGATACTGACTCTTCTACTTACAAACGTCATCCCGCGTCTATCGATTTTTCGGGATGAGATTGATGTGATCGATCTTTAGCGGCGAATGATATAATGCGTACAGGGGCACCTAAATAACTAATTATTTCGCTTGACGCATAAGTTTCATTTACGGACATTTGACTTATTGAGTTAACAATTCTTCCTTCATATCTTCTTATAACGGGATTTCAATGTTGCACTTATTGGCTACTCCACAATTCTTACAAAGCTCAAGTTCAAGTGTGTGGATCATTATATATCTAATACGATAAAATTTTCATAATTAAAATATTTCCAAACGCGTTGACACCTTATTTGGTTACAAATGTCTACTTAAACAGGGGATATTTTGTGCTTATGTAATAGCGATTGTTTCTATTATAAATAGGTAAACGACTGTCGGTTCAATTTTTAATTGCTGGAAAATCCCAAACGGTGCATTGTTTTGATTATCCTTCAGATTATATAGAAATTTCTTCTGCTACAAAATCTCAATAACCTTGGCAGTTTAATAAAAGCTTTTCAATCCTTGCCATAAAACCAAAGCGTGCATTCAAAAGCAGATGAAACATCAGAAAAGCATTAAATGAAAATGTAATAAAATTTATTGATTTTCATAAAGATGATATGATTGCATGTGTTTACCAGCAGTTCAATATACTGTAGCAAAGACATAGAAGGTCAACTATTATCTGTGCCGCTTGCATTTGCATTGCTATGCAAAGCAGTGATATTTATGTATGTAAACAAGAAAAAAAAAAAAAAATCATATGGTGTTTGATCAAGCATCACATGTGTGATCTTAAAATCGTTTAATGAATTTTCACTTGAACAAAACAAAATTACATTACTATCGATATATTTACATATTTTGAATAAAAAACGTTTCACGAAGAGTTAATCAACGCAATAAATTTAAAAGAAAGAAAAGGTAGAGAGGGGTGTATGGCACACGTATTCCAAATAATTGGTATAAATTAATGAAAATGAAAGCCTGTTATGACATATTCAAAAAAGTGCCAATACCTAGTTAGGATAGTGTAAAGAGTTAATACATTTCCAATTATGTAGAAGTTTTGACTGCTTATCTAAGTTGTGGGTAAGGACTTTAATCAAAAATATTTTTATTTTTCTATTATTTTCATATTAACAGCTAAAGGGGGGTAAACAGTAAACAATAAATTTATTATTTATATCTAAAGGATATAATATTGCGACGACCAAAGCGAATTTATAACTTTATGCACTTACTACCATTGTATTTTACGCATAGTAGAGAGTAGTCTAGTAATTTAATATAAGGAAACGTGATAGCGTATTCGATAGAAAAATGTGTATTTCGAACATAAAATGCATTGTGATTGGCAAGGCCAATCGCAGCATGATTGGAGAAAGTAGGACATGAAGTAAGTCGCTTTACCACTTTGACATGTCAAGTTTTGCGGTTTCCGTAAAGAAGCTCTGCATGATAATCCATATAGGAGATCAGATGTATAGTCCGAGCCGAAGTTGAATTTGACTCGGCCGGCGTCCGTTATATTTCGATATTCTGGTAAAACGCGACAACAAGTAAAGAAACCGCATACAAATAATTCTCGTCTTTCGGTCCATCTAGTAAATTAAGTGAACACCTCATGAGTAAATGATTAAAGAAAGTGATATTGGTAAAGATGCTATATATGTGAAAGATATCTAGTCGTAGTGACGTAATATAAAAATCAGACAAATATTGAATTCAACGAATTAGTCTTAGTTTTGTACCGTCAATAAGCGGAGAACCACAAAAATCAATTGAATTAATTTAAGTAGCACAGGATTAGCTTTTATTCAATAAAACGTGAAATTATAATGTTATCTGAAAAATCGAAATGAGTTCAATTCCGTATCAATGCGAAAACAGAGTAACTTAATGAACCCTCGAAGTACTCCGGCAAACTCCATTCGGGCAATCACAAAATTTAGTCTTTACAATATTATAATCTAGATTCTAGTTTTTCTAGCTAACATACAAGTATATGTTCGGGCGTGTGTTCATCGGTCGATTGGCTTCTCAGTTGGCCTGAGTCTCTCTTTTATTCATTTATTCAAGTTTCTTCTCATCAGTCATTCTAGTTGCTTATCTTAATGATCGAATGCATCGACGACTCCATTCGTAATATGCGCTTTTGTCGCGTTCTTCCTTTTGTCCATCGATTTGTCATTAAATTATTAATTTTACCCTGAATTCTAAGGACAATTTTCATATGATTTTTATGAAATGAACTTAAAACTTAAAAAAACGCTTCATTTATTTATTTATTTTTTTTTAAATCAATATTAAATTTTAAAATGAATAATATTTGATCGGTTTAAGAAATGCAAATGCACACACACACACACACAATATATAATATAAATTATTCATTTAATTTTCTTTAACATCTGGCATAGCGTAAATTCGTTTACGTTCTAATTATGCGTAACATTGTCTTTTTTTTCATTTGCTTATTATTTAATTTGCGTTTTGTCGAAATGATTAGCACTAAAGGAACACCTAAATTATTTATGAACGCACGCAAACATATATATGTATAATATGTATATGCATGTATGTGTATGTATTTTTATATATATATATTTTTTTTTCTTTCATTTTCTTCTTATTTATCGATGCTGCTGCCTACCTACTGCTTGCTGTAGGGTTTACCGACATTACGTCAGATTACCGATTGTCATTATCAATTCAGTTGGCCGACTAATGTTATTTGCCCGCCGCATATGTGCATCTTTAACGAGAACACCTGCGAAATAACGAACGAAGAGATTAATGTTAGCTACAATTTGAAAAAGGCTCCATTTGCCAACAATGGCAAAATAACGGTAAGTAATCGCGCAAAGTTCATGCTAAGCACGTGTAAAAGCATTTTTTTTTTTTTGCTCTGAATTTCTCCTTTTCTTGGCACTAATGCTGAACAGTTTGACTCGTAGAATATTATTCATGCGTTATTCTTGTTGTTGCTGTTATTGTTGTCTTTGTTATTTACTTTTTCTTTCTTTCTGTTACTCCCACGCGCTGTTGACTTTTACAGATTTCAAAGGATAAAACAGCGTTTATACTTAACCTTTGTGACTCACATCACAAGGCGGTGACGGATTACAGTCAGAGTTTGGTAAATCTCTTTTTCACCTCTAAAGGTCCATGCGGCGGTGATGGTAAGTTAGCGTATGAACCGTATGAGAAGAACCGTGTGTCTTTGTGCTATGTGTGCGAATGTATATTTATAACAAGCAGCAAAAAATGTTGATTTTTCATTTTACTTTACTCCTAATAGCAATACATTTACTTTCTCATCATCATCGTCATCATCATCATCATCATCGTCATCACATCATCACCATTGTGATCTTATTCGTTGTATTTTGAAAACTTTTTTCGCTTTAAATTCTATATATATATATACATATATATATATATATATATGTGTATGTTATTTAATCGAAAAGTTTTTTTTATTTAGTACGATCTCTTAATAGATCTTATGTAGGAGTGTAGAGACCTTTAGCGGATTTTAATTCCAATTTAATTGAAAATTCATGTTATGATCTTCAGATCTTCTTGTTCACATCTATCTGTTAAGTTGTTGTGGGTAGTTTAAAATTCGACTTGAGTTGAATGTAATTTTTTCTTTCATTATTTCCTTTTTACTTCTTTTTAGTTACTACCGTTGGTTGTACGGGTTCAATTTTATTTCATTTTTTCCTTTCAATTTAATTTCCGTTTCCTTTTTAACTTCTCCTTCACATGCTTGCTAGCATAAGCATTTCCGACAATTTTGGGTTTTCTAAGGTTTTTATTTTCTACCGATGAATGAGGATGTATGTGCGTTTTGTGTGTGCATTCATCTGCATTTACCAATCTGTTGTTTCAGCGCTACTTGTGAATTTTAATCTCAAAATCGCATTTGAATTGGCAATCATCTCTATGCGCGCACGGTCTTACAGTTTTCTTTTTGTTTTTTTTTTGTTTTTTTTTTTTTTTATTTTCTTTTTTCGTTTTTTATTCATTTCTATTCTCTTCACTATTCATTTATGCATGTATATAGTAGGTATGTACTTGAAATATTATCCATTGTAGTCTTTGAATTTGTGTTCAGACTAAATCACGAATTTTTTCTACTTGTATCGTGATCTTTGCAGCATATGTTCGTTCGGTTTGATTTCTTTGATAACTGGATTTTTAAATAAGAAAAAACTTATCATTGCCTTTATTCTTTGGCGATTTCGAAATCGCATGAGAAGTAAGCCAACCCGGGGAGAGGTATGAAAGTTTTGTCTAGATATTACTCTCTGTCCGAAAATATGATTTTCATTTCATACAAATTTTGTAATTAAAGAAAATATGAAGCGGCGGGCGAGTGTTTCAAAATTTTATTAAACATATTTCGATCAATTTTACTCTTTTCACAAGGACTGTACAGGGTGGGCATAGGAATTGCGAAATTTGTGTGAGCTAAAATACATAAGTCTCAAAGTCAGATTCTATTAAGAAATTTGTAGATTTCATTCAACGTATAAAGTGAACATTAAAGCATTTATTTGTCAAATATGAATCATCTGCTGAGGATTTGCTGAATTTTAGAAGAAGGAAAAAAGAGAATTTCCTAACAAATCCAAACACGAATAAAATTTCATTCGACTTGAGATTTTTTTTTCTTTTTAAAACTATTCTATATATTATTGAAAAAGATAGCGTTTGTTTTGCTGAACAAGATTTTCAGATTGCGGTTTCAATGTCCGACTAGGCAAGGACAGGATTACATACAAAGGTGGTGTACCCTTTCCCATATAATCCTCTTCCTTATTGGTGAGCTTTCAATAAATTTATGTATGTAAAAGTGGTACGTGTGTTAAGCGATGGTTTAAATATTAACTCGTGCCGGGATGTCCTTGATTTTTAAAAAAAACCCGATGTCGTCTCAATTTCATAGCTTCTTTCATAATGGATTAGTTTTTCTACCGTTCTTTCCTTTTTGTCTTAGCACAACATTAAAAAATGCGGACTTGCAAGATTGTGCTGCTGAACATAAATTAGTTTTGATTTGCTTTTTGCTCTTTAAATGAATAAATGAATGAATCTTTGGATGAAAAGTTATATATATACATATATAGATGAAAAGTTATATATAGTCATTAACTTTGTACGATTGCGTGATTTCATTATCTTTTCGAATAAACTGTATAGGGATTGCCTGCCTGCTATTTTTGTTATTTCCATTCAAGTAAATGATGTGTAGACTGATAACAATTTATTATTAATAATCAAGCGCGGTCGATTGTCTTCTTTATTTTCATTTTTATTTTTCATTTTCATATCTTTCCAAGTAATTGGAGCATGTCGTTTGGGCTTTATTATAAGCCCAACCAATATTCTTCCTTATTAAAAATGATTTCAATGCTTGTATAATAATAACTTTTTTTTTTTTTTTTACTTCAGTTCACATGAATTTCCCCATACATTCTGTTTCGTTTCCTTCCCTCGAGTCGAGTAACTGATGAAATGTTTTGCGAAAAAGAAAATGTAGAGCAAAAATCGTAACATAATAGATTTCCAATTCATGAAATATATGCGATGGCTACTACAGCCAAGAATAACAAAATGTTGTGTTTGTGTGTTGTTCTTGCTAATCGTATACGTTTTCTATAAAGTTTTTCCTTTTTTTTTTTTTTTTTTTTTTTTTTTTTTTTTTTTTAAAGCTTTTTATAAATATTGTTTTTATAAAAATATCGTCACCGCATGATGAGATAAAAAAAAAAAAAAAAAAAAAAAAAATGAAAGAAAAAAATGGAAAAAAAAATTGGAAAAAAAATTATTTTCCATTTGTTTCTGGTGGACCATAAATATTTAATAGGATGGCGTCGTTGCTTGTCACTTTGTCGTTGCTGTCTGTTGCTGTTCTACTCCGATCATTTTATGCCGTTCTATCATGATGACGTTAATCTGTTTCATCCACACAATGCACCTGTATACGATTGCATGCCAAATATATGCTGCAGTCATTCCTGCATATTTTTTCCTTTTGCTTCATTTAATTTATACATAAATGCTTTTACTTTGTTGCCTATGGGCAAGCGGCAAGTTGAGAGCAGATTCGAGTCAGGTTTTTAACGTTGATTCTGATGCATTATCATTACAAATATTGCTATCATCCGTTTTATGTTAAAAAGCACAACTTTCATTATTGATTCTACTTAAATGTGTGGTATGTATGTACGTATGTACACTCATACATATGCATGCATGCATGCATGCTTGTATGCGATGTAATCATCAAACTTTTGACTATTGTTTTCTGCACATTTCTGTCCAACATTTTTTTTCCACTTTATTTCCTTGTTTCATTCTTTGTTGAGCTCGGCATTGTCGGCATTTAAGAACTTCCCTGGCTTAAGTCAATTTTCTTTTCCTTTTTGAGTTTTTATTTCACTTTTACGTTGTAGCCTTTCGCTATGAAAAATTGTTAATACTCGCAAAAGTAACTAAGGGATAAGATTAATAGAAAGAAAGGGAAGAGATATTTTTTGCTTTATGACTCGCTCTTGAACTATTAAGATTTAACATTTACATTATTATTATTATTATTATTTTTCCTTTTTTATTAAGATTCCAGATTAAATACTTATTTTTGCATTCAACTTTGATTGACTCCTAATAATAATAATAATAATAATGATTGAGAGAAAGAGATTAAATGAGAAATTAAAATTTCTTTAAATGCCTTCTTACACTTAAACGGATAATGTTATCATTTAGCTTTAAAGGGAAATTGTTTATGCAATGCTCGGTAAATATTTTGTTTCAAGTTTGAAAGTTTGAAGGACTGACCATTTGTTGCATATTATAAGTTTTTTATTTGTCAATCCGAAACATAAAAAAAGCTCATGAGAGAGACTCAATCATGTCTCTTTCACCTTTTTCCACGTTTTTTATACCCATTCCCGAAGGATAAGGGGTGAGAACGCTTGCAACGCCTAGAAGAAAGAGTTAGAAATCCCAGAATCCATCCCAGATCCTTGATTAGCATCAAATTCTGAAGTGGTTTAAATATGTCCGCCTGTTGAAGACATTCTCCTGGCCTCGAAAATGAAACTATTTAAATTTGGCAAATATATTGGAAGTTCTTGCACGCAAATTAGTTTGGTATTGAAAATGGTTCGAATCGGTCGACGGGCACGCCCACAGCACCACGCAAGCTGAGAATGTCTCTATTTTTTAAAAGGAATAAAAAATTCCTTTTTTGCCCGTTACTCGTAAGTTATAGCAGATAAAGGTTCAAAACTTTGAAAGCGTATTCTATGGGTAATGCAATGGTATTTGTGCAAAAATGGGAAAAATTGATATTGACCACGTGTACCAAATATTATGCGGTATTAAAGTTTAATTTTTTTTTTTCCAATATCTTTATAAGGTGCAGAAACAAACTTCCAAAACCCTATAAGGCATATAAGTTTTTGGCCAGTTTCAAATATGAAATGCACATGTTCGTTCGTTCGTTCGTCTGTTTGTCTGTCTGTCTGCGCAATTGTGTAATATTCGTGTTAATCATTTTCTCCGCGCTTACAAATTTCCATAAGAATTTGGAATGAATTTAAATTTTTCATAGGACATGTCTATATGTCTATTCAATTTTATGGTTCAAAACTATCTTCTGAATAAATTAACAAATAATTTAATGTATTTATTACACGTGTTATGTTTTGTATCGCGTCTGAACATTTAAGTACATATTTTATATGTTTTGTTGAGGTAGATCGTAATTAATGGAAATGACTTTACGTTGCAATAAAGATCATCTTTCCGAAGTCTAAATAGACGCTAGACGCTAGTCTTCAATTCGAATTAAATGGAAAATGCTGCCGAATAAAGGGGATAATAGAAACAAAGCTATAATAATTATTCATGAGAACCGTTGACATGTATTATAAAATCTGCTATTAATTGCGCTAAGGTTGATCTACTGTAACCCAACATATGCATCGCTAACAAGGACCTAACGATCTGCCCCACTCATCTGATTTGTTTCTTAATTCGAAGTTAAAAATATCAAATAAAAACAGTCGCGTTGGATGAACTGAAGTTGTAACGACAAGTGATCTAAAATGTGTACCGTCATCAGTGTGCGGACTGAGTCTAGCTATAGCAAGTGGTTTTACTGCAAGCGGCAATCGAAGCAAAAGAATACAATTCATTTGAATGAATACTTGTTTTGCCTTTTGATGGGCATTTTCGCATCAATATTGAATGTAAAAATAAATAAAATAAAATTTATTGAAATTTCACTCCCAACAAAGTAGAAAATAATATTCAACTTTGATTAATTTATCGTAAACCCATCATAATATTTTGTCGCGTAAGAGTAAACTTCTTACAGCATTTACGTTAGATTCATCGGCATTTGTTGTTTAAGTTTGTCTTTTTCTTAAGACTTCAATCGAAATCTGCGCGAATCCAATGTGCTTTCTACCAGATTGTCTTAATGGACTAAAAAATTTCTGTTCAGGTCGAACGAAGAACGTTTTAATTGAAAAATTTAAAATTTCTAAAATAATTGTCATGAACGAATGCGAAAAATGTTATCTGTTGAGCCGTATAGTTAATGATATATATACCTGTAAGAAAACTGAAACTCTACCGTCACTTACTTAATCACATATATAAACATACATCAAGACTCAGGGAATAGATACTAAGAAGACTTCCATTTACTTATTGATATTACTAATTGATGAATTATTCCTGTGAACAGCCATTCAAAGTCCGAGGACTTTAAAGATATTTCTTTTTTTAAAAGATGAGCTATATCAACCGTGAACAGTTTCAGTGATTGCTGACGTAAATGCTAAATGCAATATGTATTTTCTTTACTGCTCGCTGGCTAAATGAAAGGTTCAAAAATTCATTTAAAAAGTCCATGTTGTTATAAAAACAACTTTTCCATTTCATGAAAAAACAAAAAAAAAAAAAAATAAACCAGAAAGCAGCAACAAAAAGTCATTTTTGGTTTGAGCCTAACAGTGCGAAAGTGACCTTTTAAGCTTTTCCTAACTTCCTCTTTTTATGAGGGTTTTAGTATTTTAAGCAAACAAAAACTGACTTTTTAAAACGTTGCCATTTTAAAAATGTTGATTTAAAATCTTACCAACGATTCGTGTTGTTTGGTCAGTTTAGTATTGTTTGTTTCTTTGTTTGCTTTATTTCTTTTTTGTTTTTTTTTTTGTTTTTTTTTTTTGCTCTTTAAAGCCACCAGATTGGTGGTACATTCAACTTGATGGTATATTCGTTTGTGAAACGCGAAAGGATGTTTCAGAAGTCGCGATAAAAATTCAAATTCTTCTAAATCGCTCGTGGCATGTCTGTCCGTCGAGAGAAATATTCTAAGGCAGCTTTTCAAAGCCCTTGCACGCAGGTCTGCAATGAAAATGAACCAAATTGATCGCAGAAAGCGTGTTAAGAATCTTTGAAAAAAGTATTCGTTTTGTTGTTGAGTACCAATAAACTACAACACGGTGTACGATGATAAACATTTTCCCACTTATCCCTTGAGTAACGCAAAACATCAGCCACGCCCGCCCATATTTCTAAACTATTAAAGTACGATGTTCTTTTGAATGCAAAGATAACGGGTACAAAAGATTCAGCTACAGCCACATATAATATTCATACTTGTTTGTATGTGTCGTTCTTTTTTTTATTGTTCCGAGAACGCACGCTTTTGAAATGGTGATTTGACGTTTTTGGTTACTTTTTTCTATTGCCCACTACCGTAAAAGGACCAGTATACTGAAGTCATCCTTCCAGTGATTATTAATTGCGATGTACACACAAATCGTAAAAAGCGTATAAGAAAAAGATTCTAATGCAAGTGTCGCAACAAGCCGAGAATGGCAGAAAGAAGAAAACTGAAGAAACTGAAGAATATTTTTAAATGAAAGCTTTTTTGATTTTTATAATCACAATAGTATCAGAAATCGAAAAGTGAAAAAAAGGAAAATCAAGTGAAGGCAAGTAATGAAAGATAAGTTACACTTCAGTTTGGAGCGCTTTTTTTTTCGCGTACTCGTTTTCACAACGAAGAAAGATCTCTTTCAACTTGCGCCGCCGTCTACGTCATGCTGCTTATGGAGAAATCAGTGCATTTTGTATTGCATCTCATGCCAAGAAGTTGGGAGCGCCAGTTTATACAGAATCCTGTCTAGTCAACAGGGGCTGATATTTAAGTTGGAAAATAATCTTTAAGGATCTCTGATCTTTCAATGCGTTTTTCAGTTACGTATTTTGAAAAATAAATTTCTAGAAATTGTTAAAGAAAGTATAAATCACGAAAACTTATTTATTTTAGCTTTCAAAGGCAGACCGCGACCCTATTGTTGGCAAATGCACAGTTCTTAAGCGTTTTAATACCAACTGACTAAATATAATAACTGCCATCCTGGTGAAGATTTTTCTTATTTGCTGCTAGTTTGGACCATTGTTCGACTGTTGTTAGGCATCGTTAATAATCGGTTTCCTTCAAGTAGTGCTACAGCATTTGCATTAACTGCTACTGCTATTACTTCTTACATTTTTAAAACTTGACTTTTTATGAGCACTAATACTAATACTAATATTTCTATTATATCGCTTACTAATAGCGCTACTGATTTACCACATATTGCTATTTGTTCTAACAATATTTTTAGCTCTAGTATTGCTATTGGTGGGATGCTTCTTCGCTCTTAACGTCCATATTGATATTGCTATATATATGTCTTCTATTTGTTATAACATCACCCCTGTTCTATTATGTATTCTGCGTGTATTGCTATTAGCACTTATTTTGCTATTAGTCTTTACATTGACTATTAGCACTATTTATAGTAAACATCGCTTTATATTATCTGCGAGTGGTTTTATTTTCAATTTTTATTGATTTCTACAGCTTAAGGTTTATGAAGTTCGTTTTAGATTAAAGCGTAGGTATACATTACATGTCTTGTTTACTTATAAAAGGGTAATAGGAAGCATTTTGCTATATTGTTTTTTGTTTGCTCTTCAGCTTGCTTTTATAAAATTGAATGAGAACCTTTTTTTCTTTATTGACTTTTGTACAGCAAACTAAATATTGTTACGGATTAGAGTTCAATACTAAAAAAAATAGCTTTTACATCAAATCCGTCATTTTCTTTTCTAAAATGTTGAAAGTTTTTAAAAGTTTCGATGTTTTTTTTTCAAAACAATATATTATTACCAATGGTTTTGATTTGATTTCAATTTCTGGCTTATTTTTCTCTTAAGTCCATTCATAGTTTTTCTTAAAAGCAAGATTACCATATACTTTGAAGCTAGTGTGAACAAATGTTCATTTATATTACACATGTCCATTTATATACATATGTCCTTATTTTATCAATAAGCAAAATCGTGGATATTCCAATAATAGCACATTTCCTTTTTCCTCTTTATTTTTTTCACTATTTCCATATCGTTCTCGTTCTAAGCATTATCGTGGCCTTGTGGCTGCCTAATAAAACTAAAGAAGCGTATGTTTCTTACTAGAGATCCATTAGACTCCAAGTTAAGCTAACAAAAGGTTTCCTTACGTTACGTAAATTAGATTTTGAATGTTAAAAATAATTAGTACTCCCCTCCCCCCACCGTCGACGCATCACTCACTCACGCCTATATTTTTTATGAATATTTTACTTATGCAAACGTACGTACCACAATAGTAACATCCTTGAACATAAAAAAATATTTATACGAACTATTAGAGTGACCTTTCGGAAATTTCAATGTCTTTTAAAAAGTTTAAAAGCTTTACCTATAACATCCTGAAAACAATAGCAACGACAATAATAATCTTAGAGAAGAAAAGTTTATACAAATGTTTGGTATCATCATTTACATCATGTCGCCTTCAACCTAAATTATTCTCATGTTCTCATAATGACGATGTAAGCAAAATTTTGCAGCAATAATGTTTGGCTTTAGGGCCATACTTAAAAGCCTACTTGTATATGTTATATGGCTCTGTAGTGATTATGTTGTTTTAATATTTGTCGTATTCATTTATTTGCTTCTTTTTCTTTTTGATATGATTGCTACGTGAATACGTTGCAATGTTTAAAACATTTAAATTTTTTCTAATGCTTTACTAGACATATTTAACTTGTTTTTTAATATTGTAATTGTGTTTTTTCTTTTTTTTTTTTTTTTTGCTTTCTTTTGCGATTACAGGTATTATCAACGTGCAAATGCGTTTAATATGCCATTATGTCAACGAACAAACATTCTCTTTTAGTGAGGTAAGTGCATTATAACATAAACATATGTTATGCATGTAAATACGAAATTTTTCCAAAAAAAAAAATAAAAAAAGAAAAAAGAAAACCACAATACTATTCGCCAAGGTAACTGTTATATCTCTATAAAACGCACACATAGGTATTTGGGAGAAGAGTACATCAAGACAAAGTAACAAACTGACAAAATGTACTCGATTTGCAAGTGTGCAAACGTAAACTTTGTATCCTGTAACTGTACATGTTTTATTTTTACACCCAAATGTTTTTCCCTATTGCCATTTACGTACACACATCTCGTGTAAAGTAAGTTTATGTAGTTAAAGTAAGTGTGTTTGTTTATCTTATTTGCACATTGTCGTCTGTGGCGTCTTTGCTAACCGTAGATTGACGGCTGTTCGATTTTTCTTTAAGTTTGTTCTATTTAAGAATAGTTCGGAAATAACGATATAAATAAGAAATAACTCAATCAGAAATCGTCCTGATTGACTAACCACCACGACGCCCATAATTAAAGTCGTGGAGTTTATCATTTTTGCTTACTAATAAGCAAGACGAAGTTTAGCCAAAAGCGTATATATAAAACAATCTCCAGTTGTATTTAAATTTGATGATTTTAAGAAATTCGAAAGACAGTCTTAATGGGCGTTGAGTGGCGTTTATTGTGAGATCGCTTCAGGAAGTCAAAATTTAGATATTTGGTTCTTGCTCATATATATCAATATAGAAGCAATACTATCTCTCTATTCACTACGATCTGTATATATATTTGAAGCTCCCTTCTATATATTCTAATGCCTGCAAAATACGGTAAATATACTACAAACAAAGACATCTTAAAAGTTTAATAGGAGAGGAGTACATTTCATAAATTCTATAAATTTTTCTATTCGTTAGTAATTCAGAAAATAAGTTGAAAATATCACTTACCGTTCGTATCCTTTTGAAGTGTGAATGTCTATATTACGAAAGTGTGTGTTCGATAACATCTTTTGATTATTTTCACTTTTTCTATAAAAAAAACAAACATTTTTTTATCTATTATTTATCTTCTAAGATTTTCACTGAACCCTTCATAAATTTATTTTTTCTCATATTTTTATTACTATGCTTTTTATACATATATACTATATTTCTAAACTATACCCACACACAACACATGCACATACGGTCTCTTACGAAATGTTCGCGAAAATATGCCCGATTAGAAAGAGGTCAACTTTAATAAACTTTGAAAAGAAATCCTACGTTCATTTATTTTCCCGTAGCAGAGGCATAAAATGCTTATAGGAATCGCGATTTGTACAAAAATTCTTTATTGGATTTTTATATAAAATAATTTCAATTTTTTTGCGACCATTTTCATGAACACGCGAAATATAATTAATTTCATCATAACCCGAAGCAAAACCGATCAAAGAGGTATACATAAAAACACCGATGTAAAATATCGTAACTCTTTTAGCTTTAGTTAAATTCGTGATAAACTCTCGTATTAATAATGAGTGTATATGCGATATATTTCTGAACTAGGAGAGAGTATCGACACACACAGGTACATACAGTTTAAATGGAGATCAGAGCCTTTAAAAATCCGGATGAGATTTTAAGGAATGGATAGATAAAAAGTATTTTACTTCTATTAAGTTTGATAGATTTTTTTTATGAACTCAAACGAAATGTTCAGAAAAATGTGACCGATTGCGAAGAGATCGACTTTCATAAAATTTTACGTGAAATCCTAGGTTCATGTACATTTCCATGGCATTGGCATAAAATGCTTATAGGAATCACGATTTGTACAAAAATTTGTTATTGGATCTTTATACGATTATCCAGTAAAATAATTTTCATTATTTTACGACCATTTTCATGAACACGTGAAACTCAACTAATTTCATCACAAGCCGAAGCAAAACCGATCAAAGAGGTATACATAAAAACAGTGATGTAAAATATCGTAACAATTTAACTAAATTAGCGAGCAGCTACTTTTTTACTCTTGAACTTGCGTGGTATTTTCTTTGCATAGTTTTGGGCTTTACAAATAAATATGTTCGTGTACAATTAATTGAAATTAAAATAAAAGAATACAATGCAATATTTAAAAAAAAAAAAAAAAATCTGATATAATGGCTTTTAAATTTAGTCACGTTAGTAGATTGATTGAACCAATTTTTACAAAACGGGGTTTTAGTTAGTGTAATACTTACACTAATAAAGCAATATCCCCTATCTCATGTAATTCAAAATCGATATATTTTATATCGTTTCGCCATAACTTTTGTTTAAAAACTTCTTCCGCCTTTTTGAAAGTATTTAGGTATTAACGAAAATCGGTACTATTATTTAAAACAATAGTCTTTCCTTAATTATATGGGCTACAAAGATAGATACGCTTATAACATTTTTGTACTGATCATAAAGATGATAATTAATTTTTTAAGGAATTGAAATGCATCAGGGATCGCATAAAAAGCAAATTTACGTAATTAACTTATGTTTGTCTGTCAGTTCACCTTCGTATAAAATTTCTTTTTTAATGATTGTAAGGAAAGGTTTTTGAAGATTATGTATATATATATCAGGAATAATTTGACTTATTGGTAGTGGTTATCGAAAATTCGACCGCAACTTTCTTTTCCATTTGTAAATTTTTTATTTTTTTTGTAACCGTATGTTCCTGTTGCATTTTTCGCAATGTTATGTTGCTACCATGCGTAAGAATATTGTTTCGCTATAAAACTTTACTTACACGTTTTCTTACTCATTTTTATTAGTTAATTTGCTAATGTGTAAACGTCGAACAATTACTTTTCTTTGCATTGCTTTGGTTATATGAGTGTTTCTGTTATTAAGTTGTAATGATGCTAAAACTGTGCGAAGTAAGTTTTCATTATTAAATTTTTGAAGATAATTAAAAGCAATAGTTTGGGTTTCGAGTTATCTTTATCCGTTCACCAAATACATATATATATAAGATGGGGGATTTGTTGTGGGCATATGGAATCACATTTATCAATTTAAAGAATCACATTTCTAAGAGTTATTGACGAATTGACAAAATGAATATATAGGGTTGTTCGGAAAATCATTTAGTTTTTTTCCCCAACAGAGGACTATTTTTTCACCCTAAAAGCCGAATAATCATTATATAGCCATCATCATAGTTGCCAGCTGATATGGTGAGACGTCCTTGCGAAAAAGTTCGACTTATTCTATGCAATACTTTTTGGGATGATTCCTCTTCAGGTGTGGAAAGTGAAAGTGAAGCTATTTCGATCTAGAGAATGCATCAAGGCCGCTTGGAAGCTGATGACTGAGAAATAAAGGCAAATTTGGGAGACCGCCGAGAGATCGCTTGCGATGTGACACGTCAATGTAAGAAAATCGTCTTTCATTTTCATTAAAAAAAAAAAAACAACGCAGTTACTTTTCGAACGGCCAAATAACTCGTCCTTTTTTGGATTTTTAAGGAGAGAGGAATTCCCTAAAGTTTCCGTCGGGAATTCTCTATTTTGTAACAATAACTTTACTTATATTTGAAATACAATAAACATCTTTTAAAAAGTTATATACTGCGATGGATGCAAGGAATTTGAATTAGTTCTGCTTGAGTTCTCGTTACCTATTTCTTATGAATTCTTTTTTCAAAGTTTTCGAATTGATAGTTCATGTGTACGTAGGTGTTCAATTCTAGCCGGCTTATAATTCCTTTCTCGTTTTCAATCAATAAAACTAGCTGTAGAGTTTTGCCAAACATTAGAAACTTATCTATGAATATTTCTTCAAAGAAAATTTAACAAATTCTTCTATCAAATAAAAAAACATATATATATATATATACATATATATGTATGCTTTTTTTCAACAAGTTTTGAAGCTTATTTCGTATAAGCAAAAAAAATGTATTGAAAGTATATATGTAAAAATATAAAAACATTACTTTTATAAGATTTATTTAATCTCTGGTGCAAGACTTAAAAAAAAAAAAAATTCCTTCGGTATAGTTACTACATCTAATAAAACTACGACGTGGGTCAATAAGGCATTCCCTTCCTTTGCTTTATACGTCCTTTGATAAATGGGACGGACCTCTTGTTTGAAATCATGCTCTGATTAGTTGGAGACATACCTGTCAGTCGCCCTCTGGCCGTCTACGTATCTGCCTGTGGTAAACATAAGATAAGATATCCTTAATATAAATGTGATAAATACATTGGAAATATTTTCGCGCAGGCAGGTATTGAAAAATGGGTTCAGTGCAATTGTAATCCAGTATATATTTGGTTTAAAAGTAAAAAAGAAATTTTTTTTTTGATTTCCCTTTAGCCTTATTTTCTGAAATCAGGGAAAAAATTCGTAATGCCTGCACGCCTCTAGTTTAACTCGTTAGTTAGTTAGTTAGTTGGTTTTGCTACTCAACTTGGACCACGCCAGTATGCATTATGGCCTCCCTCTGATATAAGCGCGCCTTTACTTCGAAACGAGATATAATGTTATCGTGAAAGCCTGAATGACTTTTGTTAGATAGAGGGGAGCAGGTCGTTAGATCGTCGTTAGTGTATTGGCGTCCCACAGCGATGGGCATGTAGGGTTATAGTAGACCAACCTATGCTACACCCATCCAAAGGTAGAGACTTAATATAAACTTAGCGCCATTCATAACAAGTTTTGTAAAAGACGTCAAGGGATCCCATTAACAATTACTATGACGTTGTTTCTGCCGCCTTTCTTCGGCAGCAGAAGACTAACATCTGTTTAGACTTCAGAGAGATGACCTTTGTTGCAACGTAAAGTCCTTTTCATTAATGGCGGCCTAACCTCAACAAAATGTTTAAAATATATACTTAAATGTTCGGGGGCGATACAAAGCATAACACACGTGCATTAATATACACAATACATTAAAATATTTGTTAATTTATTTAGAAGATAGTTTTGAACCATGAAATTGAGTAGCGTTTTATTGCAGTTGCTCCACAGTATGTACAGGGGATGATTAGCTACTGTTTAAATGTAATGCACTATTAAATGTAAGATTACCGGTGTTCTAGTGCCGGGTGGTTTAATGGGTTTGAGAAACAAAAAATCTTGTCCATTAATATCGCTTCATGCATTGGCATTATCAGTTAAGTATATTGTACGAGTATGGCATTTGTAAGTTTTGGTTTGTATTAAAGCCATAGCCAGTGGCCAAATGGGTGCCATTGCTGGGATTATTATGTTGTTCAACATAACCCGGTTGAAATGATCGATTGTGTCTTTGCGATTGTAGCTCTTGCATTCGAAGTATTTGCCTAGAACTAGAATCAATTTTCCGTTTTACTTGTTCGTCATCCGAGATCGAGGGTGAATATCGAAACGTGACTGGTTCGCTGAGGAGTCCGTCTGAGGGTCGCTTTAATTGTATGAACACTTCAACTGGTTCCGTAATGTTCTTTATGCGATAAGGCGGTGGAGTAAAAGCAATAGCTGTCTGTTTATGAACATCGGTAAAGTCAAAAGCAGCGTAATCTTCCCAAATAATCTGATCATTTTTCTTTTCATACAAGCGTATTGAAATATCATGTTTAATGATTTTTTCGCACAATAATATATGCTCGGTGCCGCCGTCCACACTGGCGGGACAAGCGCATACATGACAGATCTTTAATTCTGACATCGCTTTCTTCTCGTAAATTGGTTCCGAAACAATAGGAGTCAGAGGATTAGTAAATCCTCCTTTCTTATCATCGATAAATACTTGGAAGCATAACCTTAGCGAATACAAATCAATGGCAGATGTCTCTAAACGATGATTAAAACCTGTTCTGAAGGGATCGATACGCAATGCTTCGCGTTCCGTCAATACGGATTCAATATTCTTCTTTTTGACATGTCGAACGCTTAAATTTTGAAATGCCAGTGGCATCTGTTCGGTACTAAATACTTTTTTGCAAACGCCATGCTGACAGTCCGTTCCTACCAATTTATGCGGATGTGGGCAGTAAGGTGGATCTTTACTAACGCATGATATAATCACTACAGCATCGCCTGCATAGCCAATTATTTCGATCGACGGATAAGTTTTATGTTCGAGCGTCGAATTAGCACCAAGTATTGCGCTACCAGATCTTCCCTCACATTCATATCGAAATCTCATAGCTTTATTGAATGGTTGCTCCACAATCCTTACATAGGGTCGAAATATAGCACTCATGATGTTCACTATTTGTTAACGGTGTGATAACACAACGGTTTCTATACGCACTGATTGATATTCGGTTAAAGGTCTCTACTTAAATACGGTTTATTCCGTCTATTTGTTTACTATCAGCGTTATTATCATAAGCAAGTAAACAACTCCAGCTTACAATATTAGTTGTGAAAACCAAAACAGGTAAGAAGATTATATTCGGCTGTGAACGAGTCTTTTATACCCAGCAGGTTAATTAAAAAAAGTAAAAGTATTCAATTTTCATGCTCTATAGTAGCGAGGCTGGTTTTTCTTGGTTTCGTAATAAAAGTTTTCGTCACCTAAGCATGCGAGCGTTGCAGGTATATCCTTTGAAAAATTTAGATCACTTGCAAATTTGTAGACGGTATCTCTATCCATCTTTGTAAACGGGACAATGTTTACCTCAGGTACTGTATGGCTGGATAGTAGGACAGACGGACATGCTTAGGCTCATTCCGAATATATGGCGATTTTAAAGCTTGTTTCTGTGCTTTATAAAGGTATTGAAAAAATAATTGATATACTACAATATCGGTTAGGCTCTGATGAACTGTACCCATTTTCGTAGAGGTGCCACAGCATCGATCATAGAACGCATACTTTCAAATTTTTATACATTCACCTACTATAGTTTTATGAGTAATGAGCAAAAATTGTTATTCCTTTTGAAAAATAGATGTGTTCGCAGCTCACGCTGATGCTGTGGGTGTATCGTTCGGCCAACTTGGCCCATTTGCATAGTCAACTTGCGTGCGCGAACTAGCAATGTTTCTGCCGAATATGAAGACGTTAGTTTCATTTCTGAGGCCAGAGAAAAGTTTACAACAGACGGACAGACGGACATGTTTAAATCGATTCACAAATGCTTCTAAAACTTTTTTCTGGGCGTTGCAAATGTTTCGATAAAATGAATATACTTTTCGTCCTTCGATCTTGGGTTTAAAAATTTTGAAAGAAAAATTAAAGTCCCACATAGATATCAAGGAAGTGCGCGAAAATAATACTGATCAAGAATGATGAGAAGGTCTCTAAAGCTTTCTTCGGGGCGTTACAAATGTTTCGATAAAATGAATATACCTTTCATCCTTCGATGATGGGTACAAAAATTTAAAAGTCAAACTTAAACCCCACATAGATACACACGAGGTCCGCGTTTCGCTATATCTCTTTACTTACTGCAGGTATAGAATATTACAGTGCTGCGTATGAAGCTTTTCAAGACAATTACGTTGTAAAGAATGTCTAAGGTATTCAGCAAAAAAAAAATAAAAATAAAAATTCAATTTTTGGAAATTTTACAGTGGTGTTCTCTCCTATCTTGATAAAGATTCAACTTGATTTTCTCGAAAATTTACAGTCATGTAAACATTTAAAGCAAATTTTTTAAACTGTTACGGCATAGTTTTAGTGAATAATTTAACTTTCACATAAAAAACTAACTCAGCATTTTTTTTAATATAAATAAGTTTAATACCTGAGCGAGCTCCTTAAGCTCTGTGGATGACGGCTTAAGAATATCGAAGAATACTGATGGACTTTAACTTTCGGTTTGTTGTTGCTGCTGCTGTTGTTGTTGTTGTTATTATTGTGATTTATTAAAATGAAAAAAGAAAAAGCAATTAAAACTATTAGTCTACGAAAAAAAAAAAAAAGTGGGAAAAAATGGTTTGGGAAGACAACAATGACCAATCGATGAGAAATTGTTAACGTAGTTAGAATCGAAAACTCAAATTCAAAACGAATTGACTTGCACCCTACGGCCTTGTACATATGCTACTATTAATCGAATTGGACGCATTCGAAAGATTAGATGAATTTATATCGAATGATATATGAATGGAGGGCAGTCAAGGCAGTGATCACGAATGGGTTCATCATCTTATGAGAGGAAAATGCTTTGAAATCAAATTGATTTGAAGGTTTTTGCAGATATATTCTTTATAAGATCAAATCTTTCATATTCAAAACGCAATCTTTTGAAAGCTAGTGAAGGAGTTAATGGATTTTTTTTTTTTGCCTCTACAAGAAGTTACAACTTGGGGTGGAATCAAAGTAAATTTCAATTTGAAATTTTGTTTTCAACTAAAAGCAATGCATAGTTGAGAGTTATTTTCCTTAATACTTTAAAGTGATGAAATGGAGATTTTTGTCTTTTTTTTTTTTTGTTTTTTTTTTTGTTAATACATGGCATGGAAAGACCAAGAATGTTTTTACATTCGGCCAAAACAATCTTTTGCTTGCGTTTATTTGTTTACATCTTCTATTTGTTTTCCATTGAAAAGATTTTTCTTTTCTTTGCTTTTTTTTTTTTTTTCTTTTTCTTTTTTTGCTTTTTGGAAAATGAAGAGTTGCAAAAAAAAAAAAACAAATTCCATCTTTTTACTTGCCTGCTTAATGGTTCTCTTGTTCAGCTTTGCTTGTTGTGTTTTTAATGCAAAACTTGAAAAATGTCAACACAAACACATATACTAATTTTTTGTTCTTTACTTTCACTTAGCAAGTTAAAGTGACTTTTATCAAACTGTTTCACTCCGTTCAACTTCAAAAGTAGGAAATAAAACGTTAAGAAAGGTCTTACATCAAAGTGTTGAAACAATTTTTCTTTTTTTCTCTCTCTCTTAAGCATTCCAAAAGAAACTACGAAAGAAAGTTATATGAATTTTAGGTTGAGTCGATCCTTGAATCATCCATTTGAATCAAATTAAATAATGAAATCTTTTTTCATTCACTTTTTATCTACCTACAAGAAGCCTTTATATCCGACTTTTAGATAAATAAATTTTGAAAGTCACAAGTTAGAAGTTGTTGCATGTTGTTGGCGCGTCTTCTGACCGCTTACGTTAGCTTCGTCCCTGAAAATTTAATTGCCTCTCTAATTGTAATGAGTTTTTATACTGATATCGTAGATTGGACTATGCGGGTTTCCAACGACGAAAGGGCACGTCCCTGGGCAAACAGGCGACGACACTCAAGATTGTGGTGGATTAGGACAATCCGTTTATTATTGCAAGTGGATCACATAGATTTTGAAATTTAACCTATGACCATGAACTAAGAGGGTGTTGACTACGCCCTTGATTTGCAAAACACATATACGCAAATCAACTCGGAACCATAGGGTGATCAAAAATATATAGATTATTAGTTTTATTACTGGGCGTAACAAGTAAAACGACAAATCTATTATCTTAAAATCTTTTGGTGATGAGTATAAAAAAATACCCATTCTTTTTATTAATAATCCGGGCTGCGATTATGTGCGTCAGTTGTGCTACTAGAATTACTCTTATTACCATGCAAAGTTTTCAGAAGGGATGGGAAACAAATCACTTGAAAGCATAAAAGAAAAATCTCATATAGCGAATATATATGAGAGGCCGTGTGAGACATAAACGAGTTTAATCGGAGGTTCTCCATTTTGTTTTGTAGTCTCACTGGTGTAAGGAAAACCGGAAGTAATTTTCTGCTATCACCAAACTATGGGAACTAGGCTTACGGAGGTTTCATGATGGCTATGGTGGGGACAAAATCGTATTTACTCTGTGTGGCGTTGCACACCCATATAGTGTGTCTCCATCTGGCATGGAAAAAACCGAAATCGAGTCACCTTCGAAGCAAAGAGTGTCTTTCTCTCAATCCATATACGCCATAAATGTACCGTAAAATGAATTCCTTGCGGTAGGAAACTACGTTGAACACTTAAACATAAACTTATAGGCATGGGGCAGAAATTCGTCCTTAGGCGAACATAATTTTGTACTCTTAGTATAAACTTACGGCTCCCGGGACAGACGACGGCATCTGGCCTTAACGTTTACTTTCATAAATACATATGTCTTTCTTTAGTTTTCTTCTTCTTCTTAGCTTAACTTTGGTTGTTTAGTTATTTATCATCTCAAAGAAGTAAATTTCTCGGAAAATATTGTTCATCTTTCTCCCATCTCAAAATAGATACAAAGTAAAAGAAAGCGTAAAATCTGATATGGCCACAGGCACAATTCCGCTAAACAATTCCGGAAAACAAAGAGTTAAAGACAAACGAGCAAAAAAATGAAGAATAAAAAATGAAACATATACTGAAGGGTTTAACATTGTCGTCCGTCATTACCTTTTTTTCTTTTTTTTTTTTTAAAGCACTTTCAGTTCCGTTCATAACGTAACAAAGACTTTGCACAGCTGGCTTTATATGTATGGGATGTGTTTACCTTTTCCTTCAATGAAAGCAAAGAATTTAGTATTTAAGTACACAACAACAATAACAAAAAATGCCTACAAATACCAAACATGAATGGTTCCGTGAAATCAAAAAAAAAAAAAAAACAAGTGAGAAAATTATATTCGACCGTAGCGGAATCTTTTATAACCATCACCTTTCTCTTCAGAAGACTTAAAAAAAAAAAAACGTTTTCTTTGACCGATTTGGCCCACATTCAAGATCACCCAGCGTGCAAAAAAGAACTACCAATGATTCTGCCAAATTTGAAGTCGATAGCTTCATTTTTGCGCCCTGGAGAGTGTCACTACAGACATTGCGCAAACAGACCGACAGACTGGCATGTTTGAATCGGAATTCAGTGGCGGGTGTGAAAAGATTAAAGGGAAAATTTTCGTACACAGCCAAAGTAAGCAAAAGCTGTCATTTCGAAACAAAAAAAAAAAAAAAAAAAAAAAAAAATTATACTCAGTTGTGACCGAACCTTTTATACCAATCGCAGTTATTCCAAAATAGATCAAAAAATTAAAAGATTGAAATTTTTATGCTCTACAACATGAAGTGGGCACGGCTGAGTTTTTCTATCTTCAAAGTTTAAAAGTTTTTGTCGCATAGACGTGTGGGCGTTGTAGGCATGCTCTTTTGCTACTCGCTTATGCAGGCAGATAAATATCCGGACGTACAGACGGACATGTTTAGGTGCATTCCAAATTTGAAACCTGTCAAGAATTTACATACTTGACGGCGTTTTTGCAGTTTGTTTCCGCACCTTGTAAAAGTATTGAAAAATAAATTAAACGTTGAGACACTATAATATTGGGTAGGCGAGATCAATTTTTTCAATTATTATTCCACACGTGCTAAAGTATCGCCCATAGCATATAACTTTAAATTTTTGTACACTTATCTGCTGTAGGTTATAAGCAATGAGTAGAAAACCTTTTCAAAAATGAAAATATTCTCAGTTTACATAGTACTGTAGGCGTGTCCTTCGACCTATTTGGCCC